CCCATGCAAAGTCAATTACACAAGTCCTTTCTCTTCTGGGCATCTTGTCGGGCTCCTTTCTCAAGCCCATGCAAAGCCAATTACACAAGTCTTTTTCTCTTCTGGGCATCTCGCCAGGCCATTTCTCAAGCCTATACAAAGCCAATTACACAAGTTTGTTCTCTTCCGGACATCTCGCCAGACCATTTCTCAAGCCCATGCAAAGTCAATTACACAAGTCTTTTCTCTTATAGGCATCTTGCCAGGCCATTTATCAAGCTCATGCAAAGTCAATTACACAAGTCCTTTCTCTTCTGGGCATCTTGCCAGACCATTTCTCAAGCCCATGCAAAGCCAATTGCACAAGTCCTTTCTCTTCTGCATGTTTTTTCATCGGTAGGTAGCACACCTTCCCCCCACTCAAAACGCGATATTCCCATCGCACGACCAGTTTTCACTCGGAGGTACGCAGACCTTTGGCCCGGCGACCACAGTCAAGGACACAAGCATATCTGCTTCACAAAGGAAGAGTAATCAGTTTTTTCCAAGCGGGTGGCGCCTCATCCTCCTACTCGGTCCGACCTTTCACTATTACGCGACGAACACCATTACTGAGTTTCTTCCTGGCATCCGGCAGGTAGGTCAAGTCCAAGACTCTCATGGACTCGTCTAGCCGTAAGAGCTCCCCTCGCGAATCGTTCCTCCCGAGTGGTTATTTTTCTGGATCCGGCCTCTTCCTTTCAAGAGAGTTGGGGCTCTCTATTAGTTCGCGAGTGGAGTTACGAAGACCTCACGGTTAGTCCCGAAACGATTGTAATGTTCCGGCGAGGCGGCGTCAATGCCTCGTGGTGGTGGTGGACTCCACCCGGTACCTCACCCGGCCCCTCCCCTTGGACAGTGCCGCCCAACTTAGTGCGGGCAGCCGAGGTCTGACCCAAACGGCCATGCCACCCCTCTATGGTATGGCGTGTGGTTGGAGAGAGCAAAGGAGACTAGAATAAGAACTCACCCTTTGACGTTTATGCTCTCAGCATGAGGCGCAATTTGAACTCCCCAACTGGAGCTCATTGTCGGAGTTAGTTCCGGACGGCCCGCACCGATCTAAGGGATAGGTGCCTTGATCCTTTAAACCTCATCCCCTTTAAGAGGAACATCACGCTGAGACTTTTCCCTTAGAAGGATAGAGGTCTTGGGGTTGCGGTGCAGGCACCAGTATCCCCCTCCTGCTGAGGCCAGAGACTAGGGGAAAGGAAAAATATTTTTCAATGTCATTTCCATGGTCGGCCTGACGACCTTTCTTCAAAATTGCCTAGGGTCCCCTGACTTATGCAATGCAATATCCAATCCTCATCACTCAATCCAATGTTGTTTCCATCTCATAGCTGGTTCTCATGGCTGGTCTGACAGCCTCTTATCAATAAGGCCACCCCTCGTGACCGATCCGGTGGTCGCTTCTTCAATAGCTCTTTTCCAAGGTCGACCCGTCGTCCCACTTCCAATCCTGAACTTCCACATTTGCAACATTTAATCCTTATGACCGTCCTAAAGGTCTATGCCCTTCTCGTCTTGAGGCCCGTTCTTCTTTATCTTGCCCTTCTTTTTCCAACGCGTCACTCTCGTCCCTCCATCCTCATGGTTATTTTAATGACCGACCCACCGGACTTTTCCGTCTCATAGTGTTCATTCCAGCTCTTTCTCAATCAACATCTTTCAATCAATTCTTGCAGGGGACCCCAGTGCCTATTTCAAAAGAAATGACCCTTGTCAGGGGCCATTTCCGAACAACCTGGTTAGGGTCGTTCTTTTCCAATCTCAAATTGAACAGCCTGGTTAGGACCATTATTTTCCATTCTCAAGTGGAACAGCCTGGTTAGGGCCATTCCCTTCCATTCTCAATTCGAACAGCCTGGTTAGGGTTATTTTTATCCATTCCAATCGGTCGGCCTTGTCAGGGTCCTCCTTATCCATTTCAATGTTAGCGCCCGCGGGGGTGGGCCTCGAGGACACGGATCCCATTTTTGTCTCAGGGGTTAGAAGATGGTCATCTTCTTGGGTGTTATGCATGCCTTTTTCCTTTGTCTTGTGTCAACATCATTCACATGTTCATGCATACATCCGACTTAGCGTCTAGTGCTCGGGTTGAGGCTCGCAACCCCAAGCAGCACTAGCCCACACGGTCGTTCTACCATAGCGAGGGGAGTATGTATCATTACTATTTTCTCTCTCTCTGACCTCTCATGCCCTTTGTTGCTCTAAACTTGTTCGCGACTGGTTGGATTAGGCTCCTAGTCAAGAGGATCCCTCGCGCCTCTTTACCCATAGGTCCCCTAACCTCTCACAGAGACTCATGCCATGACTCATTCGACCGGGGGTAAACATTTCACGAAAATCTTTTGCCATAAACTTTCTTCAATCTCGACAATGCCCATGCCCGTTTGCTTTCCCAAAACAGAATCAACCATTCCCAGTTCTCATCTCACTGTCATCGATCCTCACATTTTCCAAAGAAGCAAGTACTTATGTGAAGTAGCACTAGCTACTCAGTGCTTCCCAGCTCGTCGAGCAGTCCTGTTGCGGCTTCTTCTAAAAAAAAGATCAAATGCAAAGACAATACCACAATCTTATTTTATCTAGGTGCCTCTTTCCCTTTTGCCTTTTCAACTTTTCACAGCTCTAGCCTCAGGCTCATCGATCCTCAAGTCCTTTTGAAGAAGCAAGTACTCATACAAAATAGCACTAACTACCCAATCCTTAGCCATTTCTAGGCCAGAAGCCGTCTCATTGTGGTCTATTTCTTGAAATTGAAATGCACAATCAACACCACAGCCTTGCCTGTTCCGGGTATCTGTTCCCTCCCCCTTTTTTTGCTTTACTATGACTAGTCTTTTTCACGTCCACTGCTCCCCTGTTGCTCAGTTGCCTTGCATTGGGCATACCTTGCACGGGCATCCAATTCCCTCTGAATCCTCCTCTTCGTCCTTTGTAAGTCCACATGCGCCCCTTCTGTGAGGAAGGTTGTTGGGGTTATCTCTTCCCCCCTGCTCAGTTTTTCATGTGCTTTCAATGTCCAGTCATGCCTCATGATACTAGTCCACTGGTCAAACCAGTGATTACAAGTAGGCCCGAATTCTCGTATCCATTTGTCATTCTCATCCTCTGGATCCTCATCCCTTGATCGTACTTCTTCCATTGGCGTTGTGACCTCTTCGACCTCCTCCCCACTGCTGATATCTCGAATGGGGCTACCCTCTTCCCCATTTTCGTCGCTGCTGCTTTCTCGAATGGGGCTGCCCTCTTCCTCATGTTCCTCTGGCTCATGGGGGTGAGGCCTTTAATCACATACGTCCTCATGCCATACATGTTGTTCACTACTTTCGGCGCCTTCCCTGATAGGGCTCTGGCTCTCCCCTTTGTCCAGTTCCTACCTTTTTCCTAGGCTCGCATTCTCCCCCTCGCTTTCACTTTCAGATGGGACATATATCCTTTCCCCTTCTCTAAGCATTCTCCCCCTCGCTTTCACTTTCAGATGGGACATATATCCTTTCCCCTTCTCTAAGAGGTGAGGGTCCCCTGGTTCCCTGTTTCCTTCCTCCCCGACCGATAACCAAGTTGAAGTTAAATCCCACATACAACTTTCTCTTTTTAGTACTCGGTTCCCTGGTTGGTCTTGTCTCTCATTCCCGAATTCCATTCCTGTCTTTCTTGCTGCTTTCTTTTTCCTTGATCCTGTGCATACATAACAAAAAAGAAACCCGGTAGCCCCCATATACACACATTCCCTCCCACCCCCATTGCGAATTTGCAGGCTTACTCCCAAAACCCTTGCTCATCCCCATATGATTGGTAGTCCTTTCAGAGTGACAACATAGGCGGGCGGTCTCATTATCCCACAAAAACTATGGTACATTGTCCCCGCCCGTGGGTACCCCATATAGGCAACTCCAACATTATCCCACAAAAACTATGATACATTGTCCAGGGCTCCCAACCCCATCCATATTCAGCCCACGCAGTCACCCATGTTCCCCAAAAAAGAGAAGACACAAACAAAAACAACCTTTGCAGTCATTATCATTTCCGTAGAGGGACGGTACCGGATTACAGCCCAGCTGCCTACCTTTCAAGTTGTTAATTCCCCTGCTTCCTTGTACTGAGCTTCTTGCAACCATTGCTCCACCGGGTCCCGGCTGAGAAATCTGACCAACCTCTGTCCCGGGAACGACCCTTTTAGCCCAGTATCATCAAGACCCTCTAGTTCAAATGTGTTCAGCCCCACCTGCTTAGCGGCCCGGTAGGGGCCTTTGAATCTCCTTCCCAGTTGTCCTGACCATGTGCTTTCCAATGTTGAATTTCTAACTAGTACCATTTCCCCCACCTAGAGCGACTCTTTTCAGATATTCTTGAATTGATCCCACCTCGCTTTGTCCCTCATTCGACTGTCCATCACTCGCTTGACAACCTCCTCCAAGGCTTCCTCATTTCTAAGGACCTATTGGCATTGTGCGGCGATTAGTTTCTCTGTAGACATGTGCGGATTGTCATCTAGCCTGTTCCAGATAGGTACCAATGCCTCCACCGGGAAATCAATCTCCATTTCATACCAAAGTTCTGCCCGAATGCATCTCGTTGTCCTTTTCGGCGTCATGTTCTCCGAGAAGACCGCCTCCTTAAGGTACCGAGGCCAGTTCCCCAGGTCATCTGCCGCCAACTTAGCAATTGTGTTTTTCAAGTTTCGGTGCCCCCTTTCTACAGGTTCGTTGGCCTCATGATGATATCGCTCGATGATCTTGATAGGTACACACAACATCTTAAGTTTGCCTAGCACTTCCTGGTTTACGAACTCCGTCCCATTATCCGCTATAAATTTGCGAACAAAGGGGTGCCTTAGGTAGAAGTCCTTTATCCAGTCAGCCACTCCCTTCCCCATCTTTCTCTTAAGAGCCACTGCCTCTACGTAACCATTGAGGTTATCTCTTGCATCCAAGATATACATGTATCCGTCTATTGATACAGGCATGACTGCGAGGTCAAGATGGACCAAATGCCCCGGCCCCAGTACCCGAGTCGGTCTAAGAGGTTCAAAGATACGCGCAGAACTCCCTTCTTGACATATCAGACACGTTTGACAGTACGTAGCCACCATACCTGTCATGCCTGGCCAGAAGTAAAGTGGCGCGATTTTTGCAAGGGTCGGTTTTGATAACTGATGCCCTCCGGCTAGTCCATCATGCATCCCCTGAATTACGTCCAACTGCTTAGACCTTCCGCACACAACTCGCCTAGGTGTCATTCCTTCTTCCTTTTTGAATAGGTGACCATTCCTCATGACATACTTTTCAGCTTCCTCCCTTGCCTTGGGGCTGACTTCCATAGGCTGCTTGTTCCCTATAAGTAACAGGCCGATCTCTCGAAAGATGTCGTCATACATTTGTGCGAGGAAAAATGATTGTCCCTCCTGGTTCGTCTCTCGCTTTTCCTGAGCCTGACTTACTAAATACCACAGTTTCTTTTGTGTCCAAGACTCCACTAAGCACATCACGGCGTTCCGACCTCCTTCAACGACCATTGCCATCAATTCCTCTTTCGGCCCCAGTGTTGCCCCCCACGAATCCTTTTCATCCTTACGTCTCGTCGTGGTGATTGGTCCTTCCCTGAGTTCCGTAACTACAACAGGCGCCCCTTTTTCCAGGGTCTGAATCAACAACTGTCCTGGTGTGCAAGTGAGGCTCGTCATCTCATTATCTGCAACAAGGGTTCCTCCTTCGTATTCCAGGAAGGCGTCGATTGGTTCCGCATCCTCTATTCCTTCCGGTGTGATGCAGACCCGACTTAGCCCGTCCGCCCTGTTTCGGAGTCCCACAATTCGCTCGACCTTGTAATCGAACTGCCAGATAAAGCCTATCCATCTCCCAACGGTCGGGTCTATAGGCTTATAGTTCTTCAATGCCCCTGCGACGTTGGTCGGATCGATCATCAGGATAAACCGTCTTCCGAATAAGTAGGCTTGAAAGGTCTTGAGACAATGTAGGATGACTAAGACCTCCTTTTTGAACTGGGAGTATCGTCCTTCGGTCGAATTCAGAGTCCTGCTTTTGAACCTAATAGGTTTTCCTCTGCCCTCGTCGCTCTTTTGTATAAGAACACCTCCTACTGCCAATAGTCCTTCATCGGTTTCCAGGATAAAGGGTCGTCATACCTCGTCGTTGAAGCAGGGCGCTGCCAAAATGACCTGATCGGAAGTCAAGACGTCTTCGAGGGTTTGAACCGCTGCTTCCCTATCCTCGGTCCACTCCATAGTCCCTCCTTTCCTAATCATCGCACAGATGGGTTCGACTATTTTGGCAAAGACTTTAATAAAGATCCTCCAGAATCCGACCACCCCTAGGAAGGCTCGTACTTCCTTTGTGGTGCGCAAGGGTGTTGGTCATTGGGAGATGTTATCCGTCTTTGCCGAGTCAGGTTTCCTCTCATAGGCCCCACAGCGAAACCCCAGTATGGTCAGTTCCGGGACCACCAAGATGCTCTTTGGTCTGCTTGCGGTAATATTATAAACAAGGAACCACTGGTCCTTGATATCCTGTAGGTGATCCCAAATGAACTTTTGAACCCTCGGCTGGACCTCCGTCTCGTCTTTGTTATGTGCACCTTTTATGGGATTGTCGTCTATATACGGCTCACATTTTTCTGGGAACATGTCCCCGACTACCGCAAGCATCCTCCTTTGTGCCTCCGCCACAACGTTCGTAAAGTCCATAGGGGTCACTTGCATCTGCAGCTGCTCTACAGGGGTGTGCATGGCGTTGTACGGTCTGTCCCTGGCGTCGAGCGACACTTGGTCATAGCCTGAATATAAATTTATCAAGGAGTAAATGCTTCGGCCAATGTAAGATTCTGCCTGCAGATCGACCTGTGGAAGCGATCCCTCGTCCCGGATTGTTACCGCATTCAGCTTCTGCAAATCCTGGATCCATCTGAGCGTCTTGTTGGGCTTCCGGAAGACAAACCACTTGTTCGCGTAGGGGGATGCGGTGGGTTCGGCCACGAACGAATCTATCTTGGCTCTGAGCAGTTCGGTGATGTCTGCTGCTATTCCGAACTCGTAGGCAGACTCTTTGTCGTTCCAGCACTCATGTTCCACCGTGTGGATCCTAACGGGGGAAATTAGCTTCGCATCCAATCGACCTTTCTGATGGTCATTGAAGGCAAATGCTAAGTGAAACTCTTGGCACACTTTCCTTATCAGCTGGGTCTTTTTCGTCGTTAGGAACCCATCTACCCCTATTTTCATAGTGTTTGCTACCTCATCCGGTATCCGATGCCCTTTCGCTGCTCGCCTCTCCCTTATTATCCGCAAGATTTCTTCCTCTTTCTCCATGGTCTCCTCCTTTAATGTTTCTACTAGGATCGAGACCGGCTTGGCTTTCTTCCCTACCGGCTTGTACTTTTGAACACTTCCTTCTGGGATCGTTCTTCTAAAAAATGAACGGTCAGAGTCGGCCTTGCTACCTCCGTGACGCGGGGCTGAATATTGACTATCTTCCCATTCAGACAGTAGCCCTTTCGGACCTCATCCTCGAATTTGGCAAGCGCTATCGGGTCCACTCCCTACTTTGTGGTACTTGATAGTCGTAACAAGTTGCAACAGGTTCGGAACTTCGAGCGTTACTTCCGACGTTTCCTTCCGACACTCCTTCAGTTTAGGCAGACTGACCCCGAGTTCAACTTCCGGTTCCTTCTCTGTCACGATAACCCCTAGGACCTCGTCTTCTTGTCTCCTTTTCTTCAGAGGAAGACCGATCTTGATCCATTCCTTTGTGCTAAAGAGCTCCTCAATCATGATTTCCACTCTTTTCCTCATACCTTCCATCCGAGCGAATGCTCCTTTTCGCGCACTATCTTCGAACGTTGGCGACCAGGTTGCCAACTTCCCCTTCGGAGGATCCCCTCCGGTCCCAAGGAGTCGGAGGAGCTCTCCTCGGACGGTGACTGGGTCTTTTATATCTACCATGTATGTGCCATCGTGCAGGTGCATGCCTATCATTTCTATGTTGGCGCACCATGGTCTCCCGAGGATTATGTCATGGTCCATTTCTTCCATCACTGTCATGCGCTGAAATGACCAGATCGACTCCTTGATTCCTGCCTTAACTGCATATTTCGTGACATACCCCGCAAAGGGAATTTCCCCGCCGGCTCCCCGGATACTCCCTGTCACTACCTTGTTTACCGTACAACCCGTAATTGTTGCGAAGTCTTCCGCACCTCCGTCCACTAATGCGTCTGTGTGATGAGTCCTGATCTGGACTTTCAACTTCCCTACGGGTAGTGTATGGAGGCTGAGCTTCGTTCCGGGAGGCGCTCTCATGACCTCGCCGCCTTCTCGGTCAGGTAGGCTTAGGCGGATGTCCGCAAAGGCTTTTTCCAGGTCTTCCAAGTCTCCTGGAATCCTCTAGAGGTTGGCGACCCCTTGCGGTGCCTCGGCCTCCTCCATCTCCTGTTCCTGCAGTTCTGGCGTCTCTTCTACCTCTACGCATCGGCACGTTAGCAGTTGCCTGAGTCCTTTAAACAATCTCGGACTTGCTTGCAGCATTGTCTGAAAGAATACGGATACCATGGTACCTAGGAATTTGCTCAGGGTATCGTCGATTTCTGGTATGGTCAAGATCGGGATTTGGTACCTGAACTTCTTCTTTGTCGCCGTGGCTTTGTCTATCAGTTCTTCCTCCCTTGTTTTCCCGTAGACTTTCTCCGGCTTCCCGGTCTCCGGCTCGCCTTGGTTTGCGCTGGTTCCCGCAACCTCCTCCATTATCGTATCTCGGATAAGTTTCTTTTCCTCCCCTACCCGCCGAGTGGTGATGTTCACCCTATCTTGTCCATTACCTTCTAGGATGAAATTGACTTGTGCTCCGCGTCCCCGCGGCTGGTCCCAAACAATGTCCGCTACCGGCTCGGCTTCTACGGCGGCTATATACATGTTATTCAGGATGATGACGGCACGCCGCATTCCGCTTGGCGAATTCCAGTTTATTCGCTCCCCCTGGGGCCCGAAAATTTTGCCTTTAAGGGACCTGCTGCATCTCTGTCTCATAATATCGTGGTTGAGTCTTGGCAGGTCCGCACAAAGTGTCAGATCATCGTGCAATATCGGAATTGCTCATTGGCCGGATCTTTCCTGCCGTATCCTCGGCTGGCTACTGCTGTCGGAACTACGACCTCTTAGGGTGGGAGGGCGGGGCGGGAAACTTGTGCCTGCATTACCAATAGTGCATTTTCCACTCTTTCTATCTTATTATCGACTCCGTGCACCCGTTCATGCAGGCTTTCTATTCCCCTCTTCACCTTGTCTTCCGTCTTTCCGGTCAAGTCTATGACCTCTCCCTCCTTAAGCAAAGCTAACGTCTCGGTTACCACCGTCTTCTCCGCGAGGTCTATTACCGTACTGAAGTCTACGTCCCTCACGTGCTCAAACTTACTGGTCTGTTGATAGGCCGATAAAATCTTATCCTTGTCGAACTCAGAGAACTGTCTAAGGAAATACTTGCTCATGATCCGGTCTGTTACCCCGAGAATTCGTAACGCTACTAGGGTAAACAGTCTCAGAAAGTCGTTGTAAGTCGCATAGTTCTTCATCTGTACGGCTGCCAGTTCCGCTTCTGTTGCCATTTTCTCCGCCTTTAGATACTTCCACATCATTTCATTTCGGGTCTCTTTCCAGGATCCGCTGGCGGTGACGATGGCCATAATGTCCCTTCCTAAGCTCAGTGACACATGCTGCCCTAAGTGGTTCATCCTTTCTTCCACGCTCCATTTCAACAGGGCTGCTAGATCCTCGTAGTCTATCAGGAATTCGGTGATGTTCACCCCATCAAAGGTGAGCTTCTTCTTGGCATCCGCGAGGTAACCCTGATTTTTGTTCAATGCCCGAGTGAGGGTGGATATTATTTTCTTGAGCCCGCCCTCGAAACTACCTATTTCACCAGCCGTACTAGTCCCTTCTCCTTCCTTGCTATCCTTCCGCTTTTCTCCGGTTGTTGTTGTTCCCTCCGGATCAAACCACCCTAGTACCCTTTCTCTGAGACCCCAAAGTCTGTCGCACCCCTTCATTATTTTTGGCGCGGCAGGCAAGCGGCTAACACCACTGTCTATGGCTGGTGGGTTTGTAGCTTTTTCCGCTTCTACAACCAGGGAGTCCCCTTTCTCCTTCCCTTTCTTGCTAGGCATTCCCCTATGGCTACTATGCTTCCCCCCGTGCCTGATTTCGCCTTGTCTAGTCCTGCGCTCTTCTCGTAGCTCCTCTCCCAGAAGGTCCCTCTCGTTCTCAGCCATCATCTCTTCAATAAGTCTCGCCTTATACTCCGCGGTTCGCTTCTCTATTTCTGCCAGCTTACGCCGGGCATCCGAGAGTTTCGCTTTCTTGACTATGATCTCATCTGAGTTTCGCGGACTTGACCTTTCCTTGTCCCTTCCTTCCTTATTCTCCTGAGATCCTCGTTTACTTCCCCCGGCCTTTCCCGAACTTTCCACCGTCGAGAGATCCTTTCCGTCTTCCTTGGTTCCCTTCGGATTTGCTGATTCTCGGTCCCTTATTGACCCTTCGTTCCTTTCCACGCCCCTCTCTGTACCCTGACTCCCCTTGCTCCGCAGGTTCCCAGCCTCTTCTTCCGACGCCATTTTTTCCTAACCCTGCACATTCAAATTTTGTTTTTTTGTGAAACGCTCGGTCGTTCACTTCCCTAGTTCCCATGTCCTAAGGTCCTTATCTTTGCTGTTTCCATATTTTCCCGTCTCGTATCAGCCGTGACGGCTTATCTGCCGTTTTCTTATTCAGCAGGGCGCAACTTTCCTCTCCTCGGTCGGAAGGCTCGCTGTCGGGGTTTGGCGTTTTGTCATTACCGTGCCTCGATTTTAAGGCGGTATCCCGGGTTGGCGACTCTCTACTTGAAGATGGCTCTTTTTGCCTTCCCGACTCCCGGATACCCTCAGCGTCCTTAGCAGTGGTGGCCTTCCCGGTCCCTTCCTGCCGTGTTCTCAGGTAGAATAAGACTCTAACCACTACCTTCCGTTAGATGGTTAATCCCTCGTTTTAATTTCCAGCTTTTACTTTCGCTGCCTTTTCCCAGTACTTTATCATGCCGGTCCCTCATGCCTGTCCTCTTCGTCAGACTCTTCGAACAGGTTAGTCACCCCCGCAAGGTAGTTTTCTCTCATTTCTATCTCTCTGATAATTATTGGCTCATACTTCTCAAACGCCAAGCGTGGCTCATTTCCCGCAACAGGATTTCAATGAGTTCGAGTAGTTCACGGGTCTCATTTCCCCAAAACGGCCCGTGCCTAACTTACACATCGTAAAACATTCTCATCGTCTGTGGCTGGAAGTGGTGGATCTAGACTAAGGTCGAGTCCACCAAGTCTCTTGCCCTCGAGAGACTGCCGAATATTAGGTCCACCATAAAACGGGGTACTCGGCACCTCAATCCTATCATCGGGGCCCTAAACTCTCGCCATCCTCCTACCTCCACCCGAGTTCTCAGTCCTACACTCCTTCTCCCCCGAATCTCCTAGCCTATCCGGTTCACTATCCGGGCAGCCCTTCGGAATATCGGCATCAGTCCATGTCCTAGTGCCATCTCAGTTCCAAGTATGTGCCACCCAATCTCTGGCAGGTATACGTTCCCTGTCACCCTCAATTCAGCATATAGATCGTCCCCTGGTCCCCTATTGAATCTCATACCTCTCCATAAACACTCTACCATCATGAAGGCCTGGTCCCTTTCCAAAGTCGAAGCTCTCCATTCCATGTCGATCCCTCGGACCAAGTAGCTTGCTGGAAATGACACTTCCCATCCGTCCCCGCTTTCCGTGGGCGGTCGAGGGTGTGTGGGTCGTCGCAACATCCGGGCGCGTCTCATTGCCATCGTTGGTTAGCGGTTCCCTGCACAGTTTAAACAGCAAGCGAACCCTGCTTATTTCATCCATTCCTTCGACCACCACTTGGGCAACTCCCCAGTCCTTAATCCGCCCTCCTTTTCTTGCTTATTCCTACCTTCTTTCCTTTCTCTTTTTATTGACCCTTCTCCTCTTCTGATGGCTCGTACGGGCGGTTCAGATCGTCTACGTAAATCAACCCCTGGTTTATTTCTCGTTGGACAACGCCCCATAGAACCTCATCGTTAACAACTGGAACTCTAGGCCTTGTGGTGAACACAGCGCGCAGTATTCGCAACACCTCGCACCTCTGCCCACCGCCGAACGGCCCCATTTCCAAGAAGGCTCGGTAGTATTCCCGGTGGACCGCCGCCTCCTCAAACATCAGGTTGGCGAGGTCGGCCACTGCTCGCCTGACGAGATCCAACCCGCCTAGTCTTTCTAGTAAGAAGGGTGGCAATCTCATTCGAACGTTCTCACTAGGCAAATTGAAACTCCCGGTCATGGTTACCCTAAGGTTCGCTGTCACGTTGTCGAGCTCTTGGTCGGCGAACTCGAGCCCCACCTGCCACACTAGCTGCCATGCCCCTTCGAACATGCTTAGCGGATCTTCTCCTAACACTAGTAGGACTCCGAACGAGCGTCATCCATCCTCTGATAAGTACAACCATCCTTCCGCGCGGACATGTCCCCGCAGGTCCGGATCCCACTCGCCATTCTCATCCGCCCGCCACTCATCCTTGGTTACCAGGAAACCATGTTTTCCATCAGCTCGACCCCAACCCAATCCACCACCGGGTGTCGGACCTCACTTACGGTAGGTACGCTGATTTCTATACCCCCAGTTGCTTCCCTTGGCGGCCCAATTCCCAGCGGACGATCCTCAAGGAACGTCCTCCTCCGTGCCATTGCGCGCCCTCCACCTGCCTTCGGTCTTTGTCCCGCGGCGCCACAGCGATCCCTACAATGGCCGGACACCCCAATCCCAGTCTTAGTACTTGTACCCCTCGAGGTTTTGCTTAAAACACATGTTCCCCCGTCTACGTCACCCCCTAATTCTTTTCCCTTTCCCCTCTTCTTTTCTCCCCTTTTCCTCCTAGCTTACCCTGCTAGTTCGGCTTTCTTCCTGCCCCTAGTCGTACCACGTTACCTCGAATAGATTGAACACATCATCAACATAGCAAGGTGTTGTTGCTACCTCTCTGCGGATTATGGCTTCCCTGATCTCCCGGGCCACTTCTAGGCGATCGTTCCTGTCTATGTCCAAAATGATAAGGACCTCCCAGGCTCTGTCGCCGTGGAAGGGCCCAAACCTCAACGATGTTTATAAAACTCTTCCGTCAGCCACGCGCAATTTATGTGTATCTGCCCCATAGTGCTGGCCACTTCCGCGACATGGTCAAAGCCCCCAAACCAGTCCGCCACGAACTCGGGTACCCAAATCTTGGTTCGCAGGCAGGGAGGCCTAAACTCCTTCCATCCCCCTATTATGACCTTACTACGGACCACCTTCCAACCTTTGTTGGCAAACCTCTCGCCTGCCCTTCGAGTCCTCGCCTCGGCATCCCCCAGAGGCCACATCGGACTTTATCCTATCGCGAGCGTTGTGCAAAATAAGTGTCACCCTTGCTCGGAGAGGATGACCGTCCCTACCGACTCCACCCTTCCTTCCACAATCTCTTCCCATCCTTCCTCTTCTCTTAGAGGATCCCAGACGCACTCTACCCACAGGTATGATAATTCCGGTACAATCTCAAGTCCAACCCCGTCACATGCGGTCCCTCTCCGTTCATTATTTGTTGGTATGGACATCTCTACCCCCCCTTCGACTCGTCTCGGCTCCCATCCTTTAAACGTGCAGTCTCTTAGCAGTAGTCCCCTTGCCATCCTTGATCCCCTGCACAACCCCAATCCACCCATGCCATACAGCCCCGAACCCCTTTCTTTTAGAAATCCCAATCCTCAATCTCTACCCCCTCTTCCTCATCCGAGTCGTCTTCGTCTTCCTCATACCACAAGTCTTGTACCCCTTCATGAAACGTCTCCCCTATCGCGACATTCCTATACACTATCCTCTAATGCACGTTGCTTGGGACGAACAGGCCGCCCGTATTAAGATGGTTTAGCATCGTGGCTCGTTCCTTCACCCAATTCCCTTTGAACGGCCCCTTCTCGACAGACAGACGAAATAAGTCATGCAGGGCCCCTTGGTACAACCCCAGGCTTGCCATGGATCTGCATATCCACACCAGCCTGCTCCGGGTTCCAAAGACGGCGTCCACCATGAAGGGCGGCATGACACACCTCAAGGTCCTAAACGGCTTTCATACGTTCCCTCTATCCCTATGAAACACCCGCGGACGCGTCCGCGGGGTCAAGCTCGGAGGGCGGACGCGATCACGGGCGCCACGGCTCCGACCGCGGTTGGGTGCGGCCGCGATTTTCAGGAATTTTTTGTGACCTTAAAAATTTATCAAAAAAACAAACAAAACATATGGGGTTGTAGATCTTTTCGAGATCTAAATTGTGCCATTTTTTATTTTATTTTTTTACTTCGTCTTCAAATTTTAAAAATTCAAAAACTGATTTTCCTGAGGCAAAAGCTATTTGTTCTTTTTCTTTTCAAAAAAAAAAACATAAAACGTATGTGATTTCTTATTTTAAATTCAGTAACGTTTTTAGATATGACCACAAGGCAAAAGTTGTTCAGTATATTTTTCTTCATAACATAGTTGTTTTTCAGAATTTTTTGATTTTTTGATTTTTTGATTTTTTTTTTTTTTTTTTCATGGCCGCGGACCGCGGACACGTCCGCGGGGTCGCGGCCTAGGCCGCGGCCGCGGACTTGTCCGCGGATGGCCGCCGCCGAGGGGGATTCGTAGCTCTATCCCCAAGTTCCACCCATACATCAATCGCCTCCATCACCATTTTCACCCGATGGCACGCGGCCCACATCACTTCCCGCTCAACCTCCTTGAACAGCTTGTACGGGAGTAATCCTAAGACAAGCTCTATAATCATCGCGTTTTCCTTTTCCTTAGACAAGTAGACCCATCCCTGGGCCTCCACGGTCCCCCAAAACTCTAAGTCCAGCAGGCTCGACGCTAACCTCGTCAAACTAACCTTGGTCCACATTGTTTCGATCCATAGAAAGGCATCACTTTCAACTAGCATCACGGTTTGGTATGTCGGCTCCAAGTCCGTCCAGGTCCCTTCTTCCGGCATCACAACCGACACCCCACCCCTTACGTCCACCGGCATTTCTGGTTCGCCGGAGTAGGTCGGCGAGGACAACCACCGTGCCATCTCATCTCTCCCTAGCTGCCGAGTCGTGCTTTTTCAAAGAGAGCACCAATCGGCCCTTGGTTAGGTCAACTGTGGTCCTAGATGAGAATTGTGTTAGACCCCTCATCAAGGTCTCCCTAAATTTTCCCTTTGCCTATTTCCCAGGTACCCTCGCCCTGTCGCACCCAAAGTTGGTTACCATCCACCGACATTCTTTTTCTTGGTTCCTTTCCTTCCGACTCCTATCCTTGCTCTTTTTCATCTTCTCTCACTCATGCGGACTTAGATAGGGGGCGAGAATAGACTTAGAAGGCTCGGTTTCTTCCCAACAATCCCAAGCAACTTTACAGAGGTAGGCACAAAAGAAAAAAATCAGGCAATCCTCGCACACAGGTCGGTCATCTCCTCACCGGCCTTTTCCCAAAAGTGGTCTTTCCATTGTTACTATCGGCAGAGTTTTATCCCGTACCTCAAGCACAACTCAATCATCGCGAGCACGGTACCTAGACTCCAGTGGGGGGACACCCTCACCTTCTTGCCCAGAATACCCCATCCTGTCTTGCTGCTCTTGTACACCCCCGTTGGCACCGGGAATTACCCCGCGTAATCGGTGGGGACAGAAATCAACTGTCCGGGCATAGTCGTCTCATTTTCTGAAGTTCGGCATCAGACGTGTGTGCAGGTAAATTAAGGAAATCCACTCTTTGATCAATCGCATCATCCAAATGTTGAGGATCGTGGAAGTAAAGTTGTGCAAACTGAGGACGCCCCCCTTCCCCCACAGCCAATGCACCGACACGATGATAGATCGGACCCTGAGCCCGAAGTTGGCCCTGGAATCCTTGAACGTCATCGCTCGGTTGTTTTAACCGTAAGGATGCGAGAGATAAACTATTATTGATTATCCTCGCATTCTTTCGAACGAATCGGCCATCGGGAGTCTGAGACGTCCAAATAGAAAGAATCTCATGCTCCGGCAACCCTTCTCGAGGCCATTCCCACATAGGACAACATCTCGTACCTTTTCTACAGCATATTTTTGTCCATTTTTTTTCAAGATTCCACAACTTTGCACCACAATACGTGCACGGTTCTCGACCACCAATGCCAAATGCCTCAATCGTGCTAGCACCCGCGACAATAACCACGGTGTTCTCAACCGCTGCAAACGGTGTTGCCACGGGTACAGACGAGACTGTATTCATATCCGCAGGTGGATCATCATCCAAATCATTCATTTGCTCATCCTGATTATCCGGCTCACCATGTTTTCGATTGTTCATTGAATTTTGAACTATAATGGACGGATTGTACGACTGCTCTGCTCTCCCCGACATACTTTGGCATTGCCTCGGTCGAGAACAATGACGACGCATTTCCTTCGAAGAAGAAGATGCACCCCGCGACTGGCTAGAGGTGGTTGCTCGAATCTCTTGAGGGATATTTACAAGGACCAAACTTCGCCTCACACCCCGCAAAAAACGTTTGTGAGCATCCATATCTTCTTTCCTCTTGCGATTCTTAATCACAGCTCTCAATGCACGCATACATCTAACATGACAGCTTGCCCGTTTTTCCAGCCTCTTCTTTCGAGTGGAAATTTCATACGATGTAGACCCCGGTTCATCACTATTCATCGTATGGACTTGTTTTGTTGCACCGCCACCGCCCACAGTACTTTCAACAACTACCGCAGATGCATCAAAGTTGGGGAACACAGCCTGACGTACGGACGACAACGATCCAAAGTCAGAACAACGCGCGACTTTAGAGGCGCGCAGTGTCCGAAGGCGCAACATACGATATCGTCTATTGCGCCTCGAACGAATCGGTTTCAATATTACCGATCTCCTTCGACGATTATGAAATCCAACAAACTTCCTAACCATTGCGTTTGGGGAATTTGGCAAGGTTCCGAGAGAAGAGCATGCTTGTGCATGATCAATTGGGATGAAAGCATGAAGGTTAGGCTGCACGCATCTTCGTCGCACATCTTCTGTGAAGGTGGACGGCGGTCCGTTCTCTACAAGTGGCGAATGAAAGGAAGAATCATTAACTGGAAAGGTTGTTTCGATCGTAGGAACATACTTTGTATAGACTGCATAATGCGTACAATTTTCATCACGTCGTCCACTTTGCAAGGTGCTAGGCAGGTTTCGTTCGCAACGAATCTGACTCGTACGAACATCAATATTTTCTTGACTCCTACGGAAAAAAAACTTAGGACTTGCGATATCATCCAACAATGGAGTCGGTTGTTGGAAAGATAAAGATCTATCACTACACTATTCTTCCACAGAACAATCAAGGCCTCGATCAGGAGTTGTCATCGGTTGTTCGTCACTTCTGTGAGCAGTCACATCACCCTCAGCACCTACCGGTTGTAGTAAAGACGTTCGAGTCCGACGACTCTGGGAAGGCGGTCGACCACGTTTGCGGTGTTCATCTTTTGATGACACCCGTGTTTCAGTCTTAAAGGAACAACGAGTAATATCCGAACGTACACGCAATCCTAATCCATCATTGGACGAAGACGAAGCATTCTGTAACGGAGGAAAATGAACTTGAGCAGAATCAATGATAGGCATGATATCACAGTATGGTATCGTTGGCGAAGACAACAAAAGAGCGATAACAGGTCTTTCACAACGGCGAAGGCGTCTTCGACGCTTCTACGAAACGTGCAAGGACCTTTCGACCGACGAAGAAGTGTTCGGAGCGACAAATTAATGAATGTCGCGTGAATCCTTATCTATGCTTTCATCCCCCGGCATTTGAACGGGCGTATATGCATATCTTTTTAGACGGCTATAACGTAAAAATCGAAGAAAATGAGGAATATGAAAGATATAAAAATCAGTAGGATGAAATATATCTGAGAATGTTTGTACACAGATGTAATTATGGTACTAAGAAAAAAGATATAGTGTAAAACATTTAAAAAAAGATAAAAATATAATTAAAGGATAAACGAAGTTGGCAAAACACAAAACGAAAAACGAACAGAAGAAAACGTTCAGTTCACGTTCTTTTTTTTTTATATTTTTTTTTAATGTTTATATCGAGGGAAATGAAGCTTAATTAACTGATGACAATTCGTATTTTTTCTCTTTTATCCGTGCGTTGTATTTTTTTTTTAACGTGTTCGTAAGGAAAATGATAATTTCTTTTTCAGATGTTTTTTTTTGCTTATACGACCTTTAGTCTTTTCAGGACCCCGTGGGATCGAGTCATGTGTACCTCATTTATCCACGTTTGCCCTTTGTCATTCCTCCACAGGGCTCACTTTTCTATTCGTATAAGTTTGTGATTGGGAATGAAGTTTTTTTTTACTCCAATCGCATTCGATAGAAGCGGCTCCTACTTGCGGCCAACCTTGGGTATTCTAACTCAGTTACCGTTCACAAAAAAATCGAAGAAGGATAAAAGTTTTCCCCAACCTGCCCGAGTCCCAACCGCTAGGATATAGTCTGTGGCACCCGTCCTCCTCGCCCATGCACGAGGCTTGGATCTCAGAAGTAGGTGTTGGCTCCACCGCAACAACATTGCACCACCCCCCGAAATGGGTCTATGCGGCGTACCGCACCTCTCCCCAGCCAGCCTCGAAGGTCGTGGTTCCAGGAAGAGTCATTCCTAGCGATTGAGGTCGGTCAAACTGTTGATGACCTCATCATTCCTCTCCTCCCTTGTTTGGGCAACTTAGACGAAATAGGTGCAAAGGGGGTAAAGAACAAGATTTTTTGGAACAGGCGTACATGAGAGGAGGTCGTTCGGGATAACATGGGTGCCTTGGGAGAAAGGTTACGTTTATTATTACTTTCATTATTTATTATCGGACGGGTTCCTTCTTCGATATTCCTTACATTACATAGTGTGACCCAACCCTCCCAATACTATTTACTTTCCTTCATGTAAGCGCCTTAATGCTTTCAGCGTTCAATGTAACATAATTATACGTACCTTGTTTTGGAATAAGTATGCTTTGCTTTCCTTGGACAATATGTAATCGGAGATGATGAATGTGTGTTGTTGTTGCTTTGTTTTTTTATTTTAACTATCGATGCTTTTCTTTAACAATTCTCCATTAAATCACAATTTGATAACATGCAATATTCGCATTGCTTTTTTTTTTCGAGCGGGGGGAAAGGGGGTGAAAGATATTGTTTTTTAACCTTTTTTTTTTTTGCTTCTAAATTTCTTAAAGTATACTCTTTTTTTTTTTTTTTTTTTTTAACCAATAAGTAGAAGAATACAAGAGCAACTACTGAAAACCATATAACACGAAGAAACAAAATTTCAAGAAAGTTAGCAACAAAAGCTCAATTTCGATTTTATAAGAACGACCGCATAGAATATGAAACTCCAAAGTGAAAAATGACCGATAGAACTTACGTTTTAATATACGAATAATAGTTTTTGATAATTTCAATCATGTTTGGGGAAGACAATGCCGAACAAAAAAAAAAAAAAAAAAAAAAAAAAAAAAAAAA